GTAGAGTGTCATGAGAACATTTTTCTTTACAAGAGAAAGAGAAAGAGAGATAGAGAGAGAGAGAGAGAGAGAGAGAGAATGAGTGAATGAATAATAATGTAAGTTAATTGAAGTAACCGTGATAAAAATAGGGAAACTCTTGTATGCATGTTCTACATGTGTATATGTGTATATATATATATATATATATATATATATATAGTTACAATGGTAACTGTGTCGTACTTATACTTCCTATTACATGGTAATCGAGTCGCGTAACGAGAATGAACGTCCCACATTATCTAACTTAATTTCCTTTCCTTTGACCAGTCCGTTATCGTGTCTCTATTGGCTCCGCAATGTCGCGGTTATCGTAGCACGGAATAAATAAAGGTTAATCGATTAACGGCCCAACACCAACCGATAATTCTTCTTTTTAATATCATTGCTTTATCGATGATAATGATGGTTGGGTTAGATCTCTGAAGAGTTCGTGATAACCATCTGAAAACTTTGCTTTTACATGCACATTGTTTTCGTACGACACTTAGATAATCTATGATTATTTTCTTGTTTATTTTTCGCATAGCATTACGGTTAATTAAAATGTTTAATTTCTTTGTTTTTTTTTCTTCTTTTTTTTCATTAAAATGATAAATACATGTGTTTACTTTAATATCGGTATAATTTAATGAATTAATATATAATGCGATATATTAAATCTTTTTTTTTTTTTTTTTATATAGATATTTTTTTTAAATAATGTCTCTGACATATTATCGGCCATATGCCGTTCTACGTAATCTTTTTTTTTATCCTAATTTGTGTGTGAGTTCTAGGTTGCGTCGAAGTGTTGATTGTTGTTGATTTAATCACATTATCAATTTTTCTGTTTTTTTTTTTTATAGATCTTCAGTAAAATGTATAATTTACTTTTTTTACTATAAATTATGAAAGAGATACGATTAACGTATATTCTGAATGCCCATTAGTAACGATTTATATATGATCGACGAACAACGAGTCATTTGAGGAAACATGATTCTCAATTTGGTATCGTTATTCTCTGATTAATTCCTTAATAACGAAACATTGGAGTATTATCGTCTAAATTGGGGAACGTACATTTGATTATCGGTTAAATACGAGAAACAGATGAGAATAAAAATTAATAAGTGTTGTCGAAAATATATCCCAATACATATTATATTATCGGTTAGCTTCTTACGCGAATAATTTGATGAGGGCATGCATGACTTCATTAATTGCTTAGACGCATATATGGAAGTAATATTGCCGATAGTGTCTCGAGACACGAGGGGTCTGGGTGGTGGAATGGGAAAGAAAGGTGGGGTGTGGTTACGACGAGACGAAAAATGACGATGGATGTAGAACGAAGGAAGCTACGTTTGAAGCAGCAGCAGCAGCAGCAGCAGCAGACGTAGCAGGGGTAAAGGGTCGAGTCTGATGGTGGTGGTGGTGGTGGTGGTGGTGGTAGTGATGGTGGAAAGAGGGATGCTTGAGGTGTGGATTCATGGGTTACACTCGGCGGCTTCTGACGTCACGAGGCTTGTACGCAAGCCTACTACTACTACTGTTACCACTACTACCACCATCATCAGTGGCACCAGCGCCACCACCACTGTCAATGTTATAACTACTACTACTATTCTACCACCACACTTCTACTACTACTACCAATTCCTACTATCAATATGGCTCTTGAGCAGACTCGTGTTGGACGGTATGCCAACGCAACACGCTGATGCCACGGTCACTACTACTATTACTATCTTTTACTACACTACAACTACTATTATTACCAGTCAGTTAGCAACGGCAGCGTTAACAGGCCTATACTGTTGGAACCACCCCCATCATTACTATTAATACCGTCTCCATTACTAAGCTACAAGCAACCTAATCCCAGTATTGTCGACAAAAACACTGTTTTCTCTAGGACATCCATAAAATGAACAGTTCCTTTTGAAATTGACTCGACCGTGATCATACCATCATACACTTTTCATTTTCTCTGTAGTAGTAGTACGTTTAGGTTTGTTTCTATTATTTACTTCCTACAATCCTATTCGTTTTTGTTTCTTTCATTAAAGGTTTTAGTGTTTTTTTTTTCTTTGGTCGTATTTTCTTCTCGGTTCTGTTAACTTTGTTGCTATCCCTTAGTTGTGTCCTTAAACCCTTACCTTACGCTTCTCTGACAAGCCAGCCAAGTGCTGCTTGCTCGATTACAGGATAAGTGTTGTGTCGAAGGATGAAAGAAGTGTGCTTGTAAGAGAGAAAAAGACAGAGAGGAAAAAAAGGGTGACCTGAACGAAGGAGAAAAATAGAAAGAGAGAAAGAGAAAGAAGAGCAATACCTAATCCTCCCTTCGTTGGCCCACGCTCGGCAGGAAATCAATAGAAAGGGATTCTCTCTCTCTCTCTCTCTCTCTCTTTCTTTTTCTTTCTCTCTCTTTTTTTATCTTTTTCTTCATCTTTTTTTTTTTTTTCTTTTTCTACTAGCCACAGAACATGGGTCGGTCAAAGAAGCTGAGAAAAAGGCCATGCTCTTTTACCTTCCTTTACTTTTCACAATCTCTATCCCCCTTTATCTCTCTATCTTCTTTCTCTTTTTCTTTCTTTCTTTCTTTCTTTCTTTCTTTCTTTCTGTTCCCTTTTTATCCTTCGTCGTCCCTTTTTATCTTCCACACTGTTCTTTCCTTTTATATATTCGCCCACTTTCGCTCCTCGACTTCGACTTTATCCTTTAACGCCAAGTTCGAGAATCGTCATCATCGTGTTGTTTTTCTATCGGAACGTGGAGAAGAAGAAGAACAAAAAAAAAAATAAAATAAAATAAAATAAAATGAAAAGAACTGGATAGAAAAGAGCCAAGGATTGCTTTATTTCTACGATTAAGATCCCTGATATCGTTTCTCCTTCTTCTTCTTCTTCTTCTTTTTTTCTTTTACTATCTATTTATTTCTCATTATCATGCATTTCAATCCATCGAATTGGATCATTTGCCTTTTTCAATGTCAAGGTAATTGGAGTATACTTTTATCGATCGTGTTACTTACTAAACGTTCAAATGTAATGGATTTCAATTCTAAGAAAAATAAGAAGAAGAAGAAGAAGAATGGGGAAAGAGAAAGAAGAAGAAGAAGAAGAAGAAGAAGAAAAGGGCTCACGTGGAAGAAAGAGATAAGAGAGAGAAGAGAGGGGTTTTAAAACGAGTCAGGTAGGTTCTCTCGTCAATAGGGTCTCGTTTTCCAACCGTGCCACCGACCGGCGGCTGCCCTTTAAACTATTACGTAGAATTTCGAGACTCGTTATTCGTTGAAGTATCCTCTCCTCTCCTCTCCTCTCCTCTTCGTTCTTTTCATTTTCCCCCATCATTCCTCTACTTTTCAACCCTCTTCTTCTTCTTCTTCTTCTTCTTCTTCGTTCATGCGATCGTTACAGAAAAAAAAAAAACAAAATAATATTATCGAATATCATAATATTCATTGTGAATAAATTCACATTGAATTTATTTGCAAATTTTATTCAATTGATTTCTTTATAGTACTACTGTACATTTGTATTTTTTTTTTTTTTTTAATTTTATTTTATTTTCATATAATTCAACAACTAATTATTATTTACCATTATTTTTATTCCCTCGATTATAAAACATTTCATTCATACAAAATGTTTCAAGATTTTGGTTTTTTTTTTTTTTTTATCGAAATAATAACGTACCGTTAAAATTATATTTATTAAAAGATTTTGAAATTGTTCAATCGCAAAATTGATCTGATTAATTTTTCAAATTACAATCAATTCAAATCACATTGTATAAATAATAATGTTCGTAATAATATCAATAATATAGATGGTTTATTTTATAACTAAATGTTTGATAACCTTGAAGATATAAAAATCGATTTTGTATTTTAGATCGTTCTAAGAAGTTCAAGAGTATTCAAAGAGATATCCGATCGGGATATCGAATGATAGGGAAAGGGGGCGAGGAATCGATCAATGAAACACGCATCTCTCTTCTCCTCTTTCTCCTTCTCTCTCTCTCTCTCTCTCTCTCTCTTTTACTCACTTTCTCACAACCAACCACCCACCCTCCCTCTTTCTATGTCTGTGCGTGGGCTCTTTGGAGTAAACGTTACGTCAGTGGGCGTCGCGTGACGTAACGGAAGTCGTGCGTCACCGATGATGTAAAGTAACGGGCGGAAGAAGAGGAGGTGGACGCGGAGGTGGAGGAAGTGATGAAGAGAAGGAGAAGGAGGAGAAGAGGAGGAGAAACGTCCGAAAGAGGCCATTGACGAAAGGGAGAGAGAGAGAGAGAGAGAGAGAGAGAGAGAGGAGGACTTGTTGCATGTCCTTTTACAGTTGGCAATCTTTACGACCGTTGACATCCTATGAAATCTTGTCCCTTATGCTATAATACCATTTCTCGATTATGATTGCAATAACATGGAATCTTAAAATGGGACAGGGATAAAAGGGTTTATACAGAGAGAAAGAAAGAGAGAGAGAGAGAGAGAGAAAATCATAGGGATATAGAAAGAAGAAACCTCGTAAAAACGTGTCCGCGCATATTCTCATCGAGGGCGCGTGTACTTGTTGCATATCCGTTTGCGCATGTGTCGTCGTTTTCTTAAGATTCTCCGTTAGTGGGTCAGAGAAATGAGGGAAAATGTTCTTCTCATCGAGATGTATGCGTAAGAGAGAGAGAGAGAGAGAGAAAGAGAGAAATGTAAAAGTTAAGGTGATTTAAATTAGGTATGCATATATACGTATATAATGCTGTGGGTGTGTATATATACTTATTTGTAAATTTGTATTGAAAGAAGAAATAGAAAAAAAAAGGAATAAGAAAAGATAACTTAAGTAGATATTTCACAGACGGTGGTGGTTGTTAAATCTTTTCCTTGAGGATCCTTTCCCTTTTGGATTTTCTCGAACAGCTGCTGGCACCTCCTTCGTTTAATCAAGACACCCATCCTGTGTTATACTTACAGCCTCGATCCAACAGCTCGTGGCGGCTCGTTAATTAGCAATTTGCTTTCTCGTTGTAAAGTCGAACGGTAACATCGCTTGCATAATCTTCTTCCTCTCTTTCTCTCCCTTTTTTTATCGCATGTTCTCTTCTGGATGGCGAAATGAGGGAGGAAGAGAGAAGAAGTGGAAGGAGACAGCAGTGAAGGAAAGAAGGGTAGCTAACACTCTAGTACCGATGCAAACCAGCACCAGCACCGATAGCACACTAGCAATAGTAGTAGCAGCAGGCAGCACCAGTAGTGGTGTGTTTAAAACTCTTGGATAGTTCTTCGTAACCTGGCACGTTTCCCAGGCTCGTTATTTTCTAGCGAACGTATGCTCTTTTGTAAATTCGTCTCGTCCGTCGTTAGATGACGGCAATGATCTTGTTTTTCTTCTCTCTTTCTCTCTTTATCACAATTTTTGTTGTTGTCGTTGTTTAACGAATACGAAACACGATTTTAAAAAGTGTGTACGCGCGCGCGTCATCGTGTTTCGATTCCTGGCCCCCTTTTTTTTCTTTTGACACGTTGAACAACGAAGAACGTTCTGGACAACGAAAGGGTTTATTGCAATCCCTGCCGCAATCGGGACGGTATTTTCTGTTTTTCTTTTTTTATATATTTATCTTAGTTCTTTTTGTAATTCATTATTATTTTTGGCACGTCCGTAGTTAAACCGAAACTAACGATAAAATATATTTAAAATTCTAAATGTCGTTTATTTTTTCCGTTACGATTTACGTTCTTGCTTACAGTCGACGCTAACCCCATCCATCTTATCTTCGGTGTCCTTATTAAAAAGATACAAAGGAAAATAAGCATTTGTTGCGTACACGGCTCTGCGTAAATATATATGCACATAGATACGTCGTACAAAAATCTTTGAAACAGGCAGGACGACCTACTTTTAACACACGCTTTATGAAACTACGATAGAAAGTCCGTTGTCGTTGGTGACGTTGAAAGTGACGTTGGGTTTGGACGTCATTCTCGTGTGCAGTAGAAACAGTAGCAACATCAACACAACAAAAAGAAAAAAAATCAGAGTAGAGAAAAAGATCCTTTCGAAGAACAATTAGGTCCTTTCTCGTCATTTGCTGTCCTTGCCTTGTAAAAAAAAAAAAAAAAAAAAAACAACCAATAGAAATTGAAGCAAAGAAAAGAAATAAAGGTTGGGAAGAAACGGACATGAGGTCTCTTACCGTGGTCGATAAGGTAGATCCCTTGACCGTAAAATTCCACACTTGTTTTTTATCCGTTAGATGTCGACAGCTACGACAGGTGGATTCGACCAATAGGCTGTACGGCTTCAGCCCTCTCTTGCCCCTTTTGGCGTCTTTAGTAGGAGAACACGAGCGCCCCCTTCCCCTCCCGTCTCCTCGTCATGCGGCTCGGTTCGCCGCCGTCGATCGGCGCTCAGCCGACAGTGGCACGGACAGTGATCGCAATATGGCTTCCGCCTGCGCTATTAAATGAGTGTACTGTCGAAAAGTGGTAACGGACATGGTGGGATTTCGAAGGGTGCGCGGGTCTTTGCGCGCGTGCAACTGACCGGCGTTTATCGTCCTAGTTTTATTTGTCCTAACAATAATCGTTGTCGTCGAAATTTTAGTGGATAACCTTATTGAGACTACGTCGAATAATCTCGTGCTTGATGATGTACGGTTCGTTCGAAATGTGCTACGATTGGAAGAATCGGTGAATTTAAGAAAAAAATAACGAACGAATAGCAGCAGCACGAGTTTTGACGAAGGAACAAGGGAAAAGTGTTAAAAAAAAGGAAAAGTGAGAAATAAATTGGAAAAAATATAGGAAGGGGATTGAAGAGTTCTTCTAGTAATAAATAAATAAATAAATAAATAAATAAATAAGGTGAATAAAAAGTAACTAATTGGATTTGAAAATAAGTGAAAGAAAATCGCATAGTTGTTGGTTAAAGGAAGGGGAAGAAAGAAGGAAGTAAGGAAGGAAGGAAGGAAAGAGTGGTAAAAGGAAAAGAAGAAACGAGAACCGAGTCGATTAGTAGCACGAGAGAGAGAGAACGTTCTCTTGGTGTTTTGTCTCTCTCTCTCCCTCCCGCGACGACGAAGGGGCGAGCGAAGGAGGGAGGGAGAAGGAGCGAGAGCGCGCGCGCACCTCCTCTTCTACGGTGTACGGTACGAGTAGTGAAACCGTGCGCCGATTATGATGCCCGTGTGTTTTCTCCCAGCGGCTATGTTTTCGATGGTGGTGGGACTGATGATGCTGGACGTGATTATTCTGATGTTGCTGGGACAACGACACGTTTCTACTACTCGTCGTCTATTATATTAACAATAACCATCAGAGATAATATTTTTTCATAATATTTATACGTACAAATAATATCACACCTATTGCTATCGTTACAAGGACAGAAAGAAAGAAAAAAAGAAGAAAATACATCCCTTAAAACAAAAAAGGGTTATTTTCGGTTCGTCTTTTCAGTAAGAAATGCTCAAACAAAATTTGCGATTAACAATTTTTCAGATTCTGTTTTTTTCTACTTCGATGATATCATAAAAAAAAAGAACAAAATAAATAAAAAAAAAAAAGTGTTTTTCCCCTCTCTGTTCCCCTATTTTATTTATTTATTTTATAAACATTTTAAATTGGACAAAATATCGATGATCTTGATGGACATAGTCCTTCAACGTTAAGCGTGGCAACGCACTTTACGCCGTGATATATCTCACTTATTTATTTTTTAATTAAACATTTATCGTTACCCTCTTCTTGCAACTATCTCGTTCGCAACCACAAGCCCCCCCCCCACCCTGCATCTGTCGAATAATCGTCGTGTTTGTCTCTCTGTTGCGTTTCGTAAAACAAAAAGAAATAGAAATAAAAACAGGGGTTGGGAGTGGGGGTGTGTGTTGAGGGTGTCGACACGCGCGTTTATAGTAAAAGTGTGTTCTCGTGTGTATAATACAGGGAGAAAAGTTCGTCGTAGTGTTTGTATCTATATATATATATATATATATATGTGAATGCGTGACACGCTCCGTTTGTCGTCATCGTCAGCGTCGTCAGTGTCGTCGTCGTCGTCAGCATCGTCAGCGTCGTCGTCAGCACCGTCAGCGTTAGCTTCGTCGTTACCATCGTTGTCGTTGTCGTCGTCGTCAGCGTCGTTGTTGTCGTCGTCGTCGTCGTGTACGTAGTGTTCGGGCGCGCGTTTGTGTAAAATATCGGAAAGAGAGACGTTCGTATCCGTCGTCGTCGTTGTCGTCGTCGTCACCGTCACCGCCGCCGCCGCCGCCGCCGCCGCCGCCGACGTGGTGGCGGTGAGCACCAAGTGAAAAAGAAGGAGAGAGCAACGCGCGCGACGAAAGATAGAAAGAGATAGAAACACAGAAAGAAAGAAAGAAAGAAAGGGAGAGAAAGAGAAATAGAGATAGATAGATAGATAGAACGAGAAGCACACGGTGGTGACGTTACAGGCAAGGAGAGAAACTGAGAAAGAGAGAAAGAGAGTGAGAAGAAGAAGAAGAAGAAGAAGAGGCAAACGAGCGAATCGAGGCGACGTTGCCAGAGTTTTCCTTCTCTCGTTCCCCACTGTCGTTAATTCTCTCTCTCTCTCTCTCTCTTTTCGTGTTTGTTCATCACGTGAAATGGGAAAAAGAGACCGTGAAAGTGTTATTAAAGAAAGAGAGAAAGCTATATATTGATACTAAAGATAAATAGAAACTCTGATGTATGTAAGAGAGAGAAAGAAAGAAGAAGAAGAAGAAGAGAAAAGGAAGAAGGTGTTAAGTGGATCTAGGGAACTTTTCCGATCCGCCTAGGGAAAAATATATGCCCTTTCTTGTCGATTCGAATCGGCAGAAAGTTTGAGTTTGATTCTCTGGGCGCCGATTTACACGGATGCCATGAGACCTGCTGCTGTTGGTGCTGCTGGTGCTGGTGCTATTACTACTTCTACTACTACTACTATTACTACTTTTACTTCTACTACTACTACTTCTATTTCTACTTATACTTCTACGATTACTACTACTACTACGTGCCGAGACACGTGACAGGCCGAGTTAGAGTACGCTCGACGAGTCATGAAGAAGCCACGGTAAGAAATTGAATAATGTTTCTTTATTTATTTATTTAACTTTTCTACTTATATCAAGCCCTAACAATTTCTACAATATTTTCTCAATCATCATGTTTGTAATGATGATTTTTAAAACAAAACCAAAGTTATTCAATTAAATAAACAACAATAGAAAAAAAAAAGAAACTAACAACTTGTCTTTTAATCAATTCGAACGATTTCAAGAAAATATTTTGGTCACTTGGCCGCCCCCCCTCCGCGTAACAATTGATTATTAAAAAAAAAAAAAAAACAAAGAAAAAGAGAACAGTAATAAAAAAGTATTGTCAGTGGTAAATTTCGTGCTACAAGATGTCAGGTGTGTTGCAAACATCGCTAGGGCTAAGGGAGTGCACAGTTTTTCTCACGGGGGATGGATGTGCCTTTGAACGAGCGAGACAAACACCAGTGTAAGAGAAAGAGAAAGAGAAAGAGATAGAGCGAAAGGAAAGAAGAAAAAAGACAGAAAGATAGAGAGGGAAATTGAGAGTAGGGAGGAGTAGGAGGAGGAGGAGGAGGAGTAGGAGGGGGAGAGGGAAGGAAGAAGGGTTTCGAAGGCTACACCAGCGAGAGAGCACCATATGACGCTGACGCGTTGGTGGTCGAACCGACGCGATAATCGGCAAAGGAAAAGGAAGGAGGAGAGAGAAGGACGGAGGGAGGGAGGGAGGATTGTGAAGGGGGTGAGGATTGAGGGGGTTGGTGTCGAGGGGTGCGAGGGGTATGACTCACAGAAGATCGACGCCTTGTTTATTGATCTTGACGGAGAGAGTCGTCGAGTTGCTAATTGTTATGTCAGCGTTTTACACCATTTGCTGCTTCCTTCCGATTGAAAATAACGTATAGAGAAAAAGTATTGTGGTAGGAAAAAAGTTTTGTATATGTTTACTTACTTTAGTCGTCGTCCGTCCCTCTCTCTCTCTCTCTCTCTCTTTGTAAATGACATAACGGGGCTCGTCGTTTGGAACGATTCCTTTTCGATTGCAGTACATAGGATATGTAACAAGTTTGTAAAGATACCATCGAAGAGTTAATACGGTTTTTTTTTTTTTTTTTTTTACAATTTATTATCTGCTACTCTTTGGATTAGATCTATCAACGCGTGGAGAACTTCGTTTTCGTCGGAATAAAAGAATTTGTTAATTATTCACAAGTATTTAGACATATATATATATAGCGCGAGTCAAATTTGTTATTATTTAAAATTATATTTATTGAAGAATAAAATGTTTTGTAATTAAAATTGATATTAATTTGAAAGTTTAAAGAAACTTTTAAAATAAATTACTGTATGTAGAAGAATTTGGGGAAAGTGTTGCATTACAAGGAAATATTAAGTATTTCAAATTTACAGTAGAAACGGGAGGAGTACGAATGCTCTTGTATCTCATTCTACAGAGACATACATTACTGATTAAAAGTTTGAATAGAGTTCAAGTAAAATTGTTAAATTTCTTGCAGCATTATTTACAATCTAAATGTATTATAAAATTTAATATAAATTACAAGCACACAATTGTGAACATTTAAGGATGATGAGATTGTTACGAAAGTTTATTGCAATAAACAATAAAATCGTAAACGCGTTAAAACACGTAGATGATTAAACGAATGTTAAAATCAAGTGAAGATTTTTCACTTTGTATACACCTTAAATGCAGTTGAAAAGTTTGTAATATTAATATTGAAACACACATACACACACATACACACACAATTTCGTTTCTTCGGTCAAACTCACATTTATTTGTCGAAATGGTCTAAAAGACTCCTAGATAAGAATAGACTTGAAAACTTTTCAACCTAATTAGGAGGTACCTAAATGAGTAATGCAAATGCAGTTGGTGTACCGAAACTTTAGATTGTTTAATGTGTATGTTTATAAATATTCATACATATATTAATTATGTAGGACACGTGTATAAAATTTTATTGGTGCGCGATAGCATTCAACACGTTCGATCATCAACTTAATCTACAAATGATTAATGAAGTATCAATTAATCGTTTATATTTTATTAATCTCTACGTGATGTGTAGTGAATCCCGGAGTATTCGATATATATATATATATATATATATATACGAATATTATATATAATACTATTCGTAATACTACAAATAATATATATAAATTATATTCCTCATATAGTAAAATATTTATCAGCAATTAAATAATTGGCGTTAAATAATCTTAAAATTGATAATTGTGTATAAAAGTTTAGAATTACAGTATTACAATAATAATAATAATAAAGTTTATTTCAAATTTACAGTGGAAACGAGTACGAATAATCAATCCTGTATTTCACTGTAGATCAAATTTCAGAATAAAATTTCTCAAATTAGTAAAAGAGAGAGAGAGAGAAATAAAAGGGGTTCATCGAAGTTAATCGAATCGTGTAACGAATTTATTTTATTTTTCCGAGTCAATCGAGACACCGAGGGAGAAATGGCGGTGTTGGTGGTGGTGATGATTGTGATCATGATGGGTGATTGTGATGGTAAAGGAAAAGACTAAGGAAAGAAGAAGAAGAAGAAGAAGAAGAAGAATCGTCTTTGACATTTTGTCTTCTCGCAAAGTGTCGAAGGAGAGGAGATGCAAGCAGCCCGTTTGGAATCCGAGGGTCGAACTCGAGGAGAGACGAGAACGCTCCAAATACTTTCGGCTGACTCGACTACGACGAAGAAGACGAAGACTACAAGCGAGTAAAAAGAAGGAGAAGGATGATGAGGAGGATCGGGGTTGGGGGG